TTTTGTGTTTCTGGAGACCTCCGCTCTGCAGGAGGAGTGTGTGTCACCAAACTAATGAACTCATTTACTAAGTCACTGCAGGCTGGGGGGGATAGCGGCTGTGACAGAGAGCCAGGCATCAATCTCCTTAATGGAACCCTGCAAGCGAGCATAAAACACCCATAATGCTCTCTGACTGGGAGAAACCCACCGTCGTCCATTACTGCCCTTCCTATTCGCCGGGGCAAAATGAGCCTCCGTTTGCATCCTTTATTTTTATTCTCGGGGAGATGATTGTTACGGAGATGCCCCCCCCCCCCCCCCCCCCCCCTCCTCCTGGCTGCAATTAAGTTGTTCTTTTTAACGTTGCAGAGGCAGTTTTGGATTAATGAAACACGTCTTTCTTTGAGGAATACGTGCGGGTCGAGCCTCAGCGAGTCGTTTTATGTCTTTGATCAGAAGCAGAGACGCTTCACCTTTGATTCCAGGGTTTAATTGGCTGCCAGCTAATTCCCCGACACACCAGCCATTACTCTTTCTGCACTCTTGTTTTAGCACAACAAGCTGATTTGACACAGAAATGAGGCGTGTGTTTGGGAGATGAAAGCTGTGTGTACAAATACTTCATTGCTGTACTTAAATTCATCTTTCTGGTATCAGTACTTTACTCCACTACTTATTTTTCTGACGACTTTTTACTTTGACTTCTTACATGTTGAACACAAATACCTGTACTCTCTACTTCTTACATGTTGAACACAAATACCTGTACTTTCTACTTCTTACATGTTGAACACAAATACCTGTACTTTCTACTTCTTACATGTTGAACACAAATACCTGTACTTTCTACTTCTTACATGTTGAATACAAATACCTGTACTTTCTACTTCTTACATGTTGAACTCAAATACCTGTACTTTCTACTTCTCACATGTTGAACACAAATACCTGTACTTTCTACTTCTCACATTTCCCAAACAGGCTGGTTCCTTTAGTTTGAATGTGTGTTTGGTGGCGTGATCATTATTATTTAGAGTCATTGCGTGCCTATTGATTTGAACACGATCCGTGTATCCATCATTTCCTGGTCTTCTCTAAAGAAGAGGGACCAATGAAAACGTTGTCATGTTGCCGTTGTTCAGCATGGAAACATTCATTAGCTAACAATGACATTATTGTTCTATTAATATAAAGGGAGGTCAGGTACTCTTTAAAACAGCTGCTAGTTATGGGTACTTTTTACTGAAGTACATTTCAAAGTTCTTTACTTTCACTTGAGTAAAGAAGTTTAGTCAGTACTTCTACTTCTTTCACCAGAGTATTGTTAAACACGAGTATCTGTACTTCTACTTGAGTAAAGGATGTGTGTACTCTTCCCCTCTCTGCAGATATCCCAAAGCTCCTGAGCAACCACACCATCTTCTACTCGTGGGAGGGCAACGCGGTGAACATCAGCTGCGACGTGATGTCCAACCCTCCGGCCACCATGCTGTGGAGGAGAGAGAGGTTCACCATCTCTGCAGAGGGCACGACCAACACCAGGGTGCACAGCGCCGAGGGCAAGTCTGTGCTGGAGGTGGGTACAAGAGTCAAACAATACTGAATATATGAAGGGACATACAAAACATGGCAACTATGAGAATAATAATGAACTATAATGACATACAAATGTCATTGAGACACAGAAAATATGATTTATTATGATACTTGACCTTATAAGTCCTGATACAAATGTAAACTATATTAGAAATTATTGAAAGCCGATTAAATGCATCATAAATATAATATGTTCCGCTTCCAGGTGACTCCGATGTCCGACAGAGACTTTGGACGCTACAACTGCACGGCGAGGAACAACATCGGGGTTCGATACCAGGAGTTCATTCTGGCGCAGGCAGGTGAGTGATCTAATATTGAGGTGTGCGACCCCCGACCCCCCGACACTCTCACAGCACCAGGAACTGTTCGAGGGCTTTGTAACTCGACCTCTCCACTAATGGTAATAGCTTTATTTGAATTTCTCAGGAAATAAATACCTCTACAGCTCCTAAACTCAAATAGAGCCGTGTGATTTACCTCACCCCTCGCTATTTACTGAAGGACCCCCTAATTTACGCTCGAGCAGGTTTATACACAATAGTGCGGTCCAATTATCCTTAGTGCAGATTAAACGTGCAGCGTACGTGTATTCTTGCAGGAAACAATGTGGAAGTGGTTCTCTCTCTCACACACACACACACACACACACACACACACACACACACACACACACACACACACACACACACACACACACACACACACAGTTTGAAGCTGCAGTGACTCACTTCTTTGCACACGGTCTCAAAGCCGGACCTTGAGTAAAAAACGACAAGAAATGTGTTATTGTGAATATTGCATTCATGCTTTTCAAAGTGAGAAACACGCGTGACAAAAAAGGTCTGATGGGTTTCAGATAAAACACATCCATGGTCAAGTGAAATATGCAGCCGTGTGAGGTCACCTTGAAGCACACATTATATTATAACTATATTAACTTTGATGTAAGAGATGTGATAGGTAGGGACAGTGAGTACTACCTTCAGCATTTAGTTTGAAGGTGCATTTATTGTTGGATGTGCATAGTTGAAATAGTTTGTTTCTCTCTGGAAGCAGCCAAACATTTTACACATGACTGGAATATTCTTCCAGCTGAGCTTCAAACACTGACTTTAACTATTTCTCTTATAGTGCAAAACATGAATATTAACAACATTAATACCACTGTAATTTCCAAGTGTAATTGTATTGTAATATTATATTTGAACTGTACTATGTACTATTTCATTAACCTGTACTTTAAATGTTTGTGTGATAGAGATTATGACTTTTTTGTTAGTGTATGTTGATTGCTATCACTCATGTCTGTGCCATTAAGGCCGTTCATGTTATCACTAGTTGTTAAGTACACCATGGTATTGTGCTTTTGGGTGTTTTCCCACTCCTTTTTGAACATTAAAGCATGTAGACATGTCACAGTAGAGGCACAATATACAAATATGAACCTGAAAATGAGCGTTAAAGGGCCCCTCTTGTTCTTTTTGCCTCGTATCTAAGAAGTTTCCCTGCTGTTGGACGATTCAAGTATTTCTGATTTCTCTTTTCCAGACGTCCCATCCAATCCGTACTCGGTGCGTCTCTCAGCTGTTTCCCAGCGTTTAGCCACCGTCACCTTCATGAAACCAGACTCCCATGGAGGCGTTCCCATCAGCTTCTACCTGGTCCAGTACAAAGACGTGGGGTCTCAGGAGTGGAAGGACGTGAAGTCTCACAGCATCCAGAGTGAGTGGGAAATATATTGTTTTAATGCCCTTTTCTCTTCCTTTATGGGTAATAAATGTTTAGTGGGCCTCATTATGCACAACATGTTGTTATTGTGCATGCTCAGCTCATTTCCCTGACAAAGACAATTTCCTTTATGTTTGTTACACAGTGTACATGAGGGGGGTTAGAGGCGTGATCAGTACAAGTGATCAAAACATTTAATTACACACTTTATCGCCCAGGAGAAGAAAAAGGGCCGCCGTAAGACATGTCCAAATGATTGTGAGGAGTGTGTTGGAAAGTAGCTAAGTACATTTACTCATAAACTCGGAACAAGTACACATTTCAGATACTTTTATGTACGTAATGCGACTTACAGTTTGGAAGCAAATACTTGATTTTACTCCTATAAATATAAATATATATATATTGTTCCAAATGATGGCCATTCTGCACTGACTACTTTAGTACTTTTGGTACTTTAAAGTGGACCTATCATGCTATATTTGAATAATATAGTGTAGGACCATACCTATATAAGGCATATTTATACTTTTTTTTTTTCAAAATACCAAACAGATCATGCATTTTAGCCATGCCTCATTTCGCTCAATTTGACATTTTTTAGATCTGTTTTAGCAAGGGCTGATTCTGTGAGAACAGCACCACCTACAGGCCTGGCATATGTACTACAGCGTCTCCAGCGCTTTCGAACGGCAATGGCCGTGGCTGTCTCCTCCTGATTGGTGGAGTTGGCCCAATAGCCGTAGCGCCACCGTCCTGACGTCAGGACAGTGTTCAAATCTGGATCAGTTTTTATCAGATCCGTTGCAGCCCCTTTTTTAGAGATTTGGGTATGGAGGAAAATAGAGAGGGTTGTGTTTTCTGACACTTGGTGAGTTCCCTGGAACACCGGGGACACATATTCATGTAGAAAAGACGTACAACAGTGCATTTTGCATGATAGGTCCCCTTTAACTTGTAACAAAGTATTTCTAAACTGTGCTTTTACTAGTTTTACTGTACTAAAAGATATGAGTACTTCTTCCACCACTGGGTTAAAGTATTTTTCTCAACATCTCTTGAACATAAACTGATGTTAAAGGGTCAGACATGTCCATAAAAACATAATATTACGACTGCTCCGCTTCTGATTTCCATTTATCAGTATAAGTATGCAATACTTTTGACTAGTAATCTCAATCTCACACAATACTCAAGAGGGAGCTAATTGATTTTGAAACCCTTATACAATATAATATTCCACTCTAAATGCATTGTTGCTTTAATTCAAATGATGGATGATGAGTTTAATCATACACCCGTTCTCCAATGACAAATATAAATGCAGATTGTTAGCAAGGAAAAGTCGCAACCAACTCACGGTCGACCAAAAGGAACATTAGTAGTTTTGTCACACAGTTTGAAAGTTATCAAGTAGCTTCTTCGGATACTAGAAGCCGTATCACATGATCTGCCATGCGATCCTTTAAAGCCTGAGATGTTGTTGGGTATTGACGAACCTAAAACACCTCGTGGGGACAGATCCAGAACACTCTCCTCTTCATCCTCTTCATCCTCTTCCTCCTCGCTTCACGACTTCAGATTGATTTCTGAGCTGGTACAGGTGAAGGATGGCTGGGGAAAAGAAGCCTAGAGGACTAATGGTTTGGTGATAAGCAGGTCTGACTAAGGGCTTTTCACTAATATCCCTCATTTCAGAGTCAATTACGATATGTAGATGCAGGGAGGAGGATACTGAACGCTCATTAAGGAGTCCTTTCCCTCTCCTGTAGTGTGTCATATTGGTTTAAATGCATGTAAAGGGTCTGCAAAGGCTAAAATCCTTACGTTCACGCCACTTTTTGAGCATTAAAGCATGCAAACAAGGCATAAAAGACACTAATATGAACCTGAGAGGAGCTTCAAATGTCCGTTTTAACACGTCACACATCAGGAGCAGAACTGGATAAAGTAACTTCATCTCTCCAGTTCATTCTTGCTGATTATTCTGCATTATATCAATGAAATATTAAAGCAGAATAATTACAAACCATCTAGGGCTGCACGATTTGGGGAAATAATCGAATTGCCATTTTTCTGACAGATATTGCGATTCGATTTGCGATATTTATTTTTAAGCAACCCAACGGAAGTTTATTGTAAAATGCGGCCATATCTCCGACTATAGGTCGTATCAACGTGCTCCCGTCTCTAGCACCCGCGCAGCCCGAGCTACGAGTGAAAGAACTAAACTTACATGAAACTTCCGTTAGGTTGCTTTAAAGTCAAGCTTCAGTTTCAGATTCACCCTGTAACGGAGCGTCCACACAGCAGCGTTAAAAAAATCTTGGAACGCTTCTGCCCATTCACTTTGAATGGGGTGACGTCACTTTGCCTCACTTTTCGCCGAACTGCATTGTGGGAAGCAGAGCGGAGATTTCCAGGATTTTCAGGATTCAAAGTTGAGCAATGTTCAACTTTTGAAGCTGAGGTGGAAGCGTCAGCCAATCAAATCCCGTGTACGCAAATCTGACCGTTCAAGCTCTAGCCAATCAAACCGCGTGTATGCTGGGAGAGACATACCGCAGGTCATTTCCTCATATTCCAAAACATGGAGGAGAAATTAGCGGTAGGGAATCACCCGGTGCTTTATGACCAGTCCCTATTTACCTACCGGGATACAAACCGGAGGAGCCAGGCATGGAGGGAGGTGGCAGAGACAGTGGTAGGTTTTCGCCTGTTTGGGGAGTTTATATCCAGTTTACTTCGGGCTTTTTGGCTTCGTATGTCGGGGGCGGGAGATTCATGTGATTGGTTGTTGGTGCCTTGCTCGCAAAAAATCCCCAAGCTTCAGATACGCCCACCTCCAAGATTTTTTTAACGCTGCTGTGTGGACGGGCCGTAATAGATGTGAAACATGTGATGGAGCATTACTAACCTGACTCAGATGGTTTCACCAAAGCATCAGGAAAGCTCCATTGGAAGTAAAGTATTTCAAAAATACTTGGCAGGTGATTGGATCAATCTGTCTATCACCTACTATCATGGGCCACTTCTGATTGGTTAACAATGACTGGTACATGTGGAGCAAAAATATCCAACAAAAATATTTTAAAAACAAAAAAAAATCGCAGGCTTTGCCATTTGATAATCGATTAATCGTTCAGCCCTAAAACCTCTTCAGCATCCTTACGCAATAAACCCTCCACTATAATGAGATGCCTGGACTCATTGCATTTGAATGCTTTTGCCCAAATTGAAATGTCTGTTTATAGCTGGAAAGTAAACCTAGTGCCGCTGCAAATTGCAGAATGTGTTATCAGTTCCAGGATTAAAGAACTGCAGAAGCACCTATTACTATTCAAGTATTTAATTTGTGCAGTCGGACAAAAACAACAACTTTCACTCATTACAGCGCCTCTGAATACTGAGGGTTAGTTAATGGACTCAAGGATTTCAATATGAATCTGTAATGTGGATTTTATAATAATAAAGTTATAGTGTGAAGGCAGCAGATTTTACTGTTGATGTTTTTTATGATAATGTTCTGTGATTAGATCCCATTGAATCATCTACAAGGTCTTATTCTTTCATATTTCTCTCTTTTTTATTCACTACCAATTAAAGCTAATTATGTTCTGTATTCACAGACTAATAATCTTTTCATAAACTGTTTATTATTCGTCTTTTACTGCCTTACAAGTCTTGAATTGGAAATGGGGGACCCTGATGTAAACAAGACGAAAGTCTTTCTCTGGTCTGCATCCCCTTAACAATTGTATGTTTTGAGCTGTACTGTACTGTACCCAATATACAAGCTGTTAATAAACTTTTCAATCAATCAATCAATAACTTTTTACATTTATCGGACAAAATATAAATCAACTTGTACATTCAACTTAAAGTGGACCTACAGTATCATGCTATATTTAAATGATATATTGTAGGGCCATACCTATATACGGCATATTTATACGTTTCTGTTTTCAAAATACCAAACAGATCATGCATTTTAGCCATGCCTCATTTCGCTCAATTTGACAATTTCTAGCTCTGGGCAGATTCTGTGAGAACAGCACCATCTAGAGGCCTGGCATATGTACTACAGCGTCTCCAGCGCTTTCGAACGGCAATGGCCGTGGCTGTCTCCTCCTGATTGGTGGAGTTGGCCCAATAGCCGTAGCGCCACCGTCCTGACGTCAGGACAGTGTTCAAATCTGGATCAGTTTTTATCAGATCCGTTGCAGCCCCTTTTTTAGAGATTTGGGTATGGAGGAAAATAGAGAGGGTTGTGTTTTCTGACACTTGGTGAGTTCCCTGGAACACCGGGGACACATATTCATGTAGAAAAGACGTACACAAGTGCATTTTGCATGATAGGTCCCCTTTAAATAGTCATCTGTAATGTCTCAATGTTATTTCAGGTTATAGTATGCTTTATTACTATTGGTCTTTTTGTATTTGCTACCTATTAAAGCTAATTATCTCATCACACAGTGCTCTAAGATGAGTGACTTGCATTTCTAGCAAGACCAGAAACTGTCCTGAACATTTTGATATGTAACACATGGTAATTGGTCTAGTTAGATATACATATATAAGGGTGGTTTGTTCCTGCTCTTTTCCTCCCGCTATGTGCATGATTGATGGCCCCAACATGTGTCCAGGGGTCATGACCTCTGACCTTTGACCTCTCTCCTCAGCGACGGTGGTTCTGACGGCGCTGGAGCCCAACACCACCTACGAGGTCCGAGTGGCAGCCGTCAACGGGAAGGGTCAGGGAGAGTTCAGCCACACGGAGAGCTTCCAGACTCTTCCCATCCGTGAGTTCACCCTCTGTTTAACACCCACACACAGCTAGCCTCCTGACACAGCCTTCAAAATAAGAGCTTCCAGACGCTGCCCATCCGTGAGTTCACCCTCTGTTTAACACCCACACTCAGCTAGTTTCCTGACACAGCCTTCAAAATAAGAGCTTCCAGACTCTTCCCATCCATGAGTTCACCCTCTGTTTAACACCCACACACAGCTAGCTTCCTGACACAGCCTTCAAAATAAGAGCTTCCAGACTCTTCCCATCCGTGAGTTCACCCTCTGTTTAACACCCACACTCAGCTAGTTTCCTGACACAGCCTTCAAAATAAGAGCTTCCAGACGCTGCCCATCCGTGAGTTCACCCTCTGTTTAACACCCACACTCAGCTAGCTTCCTGACACAGCCTTCAAAATAAGAGCTTCCAGACGCTGCCCATCCGTGAGTTCACCCTCTGTTTAACACCCACACTCAGCTAGCTTCCTGACACAGCCTTCAAAATAAGAGCTTCCAGACGCTGCCCATCCGTGAGTTCACCCTCTGTTTAACACCCACATGGAGACAGTTTCCTGACACAGCCTTCAAAATAAGAGCTTCCTAACTCGGGTTAGGGACTCCATACTGACACTCGTCATCCAGTCATAATCACGTGTATTCATTAGTATTATTGGCATATTCTACCATTTCACACATGTTGATGTGATCCACCCCCACACGGAGCTTGTTTCCTGACACAGCCTTCAAAATAAGAGCTTCAAGACATTCGTTATCCAGTCATAATCACTTGTATTCATTAGTACTCTTGCTTCATAGGTGTTCATTATTAATGATTGGCATATTCTACCATTTCACTGACACATCCTTCAAAATAAGAGCTTCTTAATTCGTTAGCATGCAACACAAAAGGGACTAAACATGTTAATTATTAATACTCTAACATTTCACACCTGTTGATGTGATCTATCACACACAGCTAGTTTCCTGACACGTCCTTCAAAATAAGAGCTTCTGAACTCATTAGGGCGCAACACAAAAGGGACTAAACCGACATCCAGTCATAATCACTTTTATTCATCAGTACTGTGGCTTCATAGTTGTTAAATATTACCATATTCTACTATTTCACACATGTTGATGTGATCTATCCCCGCACACAGCTAGTTTCCTGACACGTCCTTCAAAATAAGAGCTTCTTAACTCATTTGTATGCAACACAAAAGTGGAAAAACAGATAAAACAGCCATAAAATGCTTTTTTATTAACATATAAAGATATTTGTGTCCTGATTTAATCAAATAATATAAATATGCTGTACGTGAACGAAATGCAAACATGCATATTTCATATTTTCAAAGCAGCCGCACCTCAGTGAAACTCCTATTTGCCGTCTAATGAAACTCTGACAAGCTTATATATGAAATAGTTACATCCCCTCGTATTTCAGCGATATGAATCCAGAGTATTGGAGCCTGGAATAGATCCTGTCAAAGTTGTGGCTTGATGTAAAACTGCTGCATTAAAAATTATATACTGCAGGGGTTTTATGATAAGCATTTTATTTATTCTGGCAATCTGGCACCGGAGGATTGCAGTAAATCTAGGCGAGGCCGTAGAAGAAGTATTTCCACCGTTAATATTATACTGAGTTATGAATGTTGGAAAGAATACCCAATTAGCAAAATACACTGAATAATAAGACATTAGTTCCAGCCAGGCAGGGGAGTCGCCTCTTAATATGAATTTAATTCAGCTTTAAAGCTCCGTACTGCATCCTTATCTCATATCTCGCACCGTGCCACCTGCTCCACACACACACACACACACACACACACACACACACACACACACACACACACACACACACACACACACACACACACACACACACACACACACACACACACACACACACACACACACACACACACACACATACACACACACTCACACACACATACCATGTATACATCACTTCAGGGGACATTACATTGACTTACATGCATTTCCTGGAGACTTATCCTAACCTTAACCAAAACCAACACATGCCTAACCCTTACCCTAAGCAAGTCTTCACCCTAAAATTAATGATTCCCCCCCTCCATTATGTCCCCATAAGGGGGGCGAGTCCACACACGTGACTGTGTAAACAGATTTAGGTCCCCAAAAGGATGGTAATGCTAGGACACACACACACACACAAACACACTCTCTCTCTCTCTCTCTCTCTCTCTCTCTCTCTCTCTCTCTCTCTCTCTCTCTCTCTCTCTCTCTCTCTCTCTCTCTCTCTCTCTCTCTCTCTCTCTCTCTCTCTCTCTCTCTCTCTCTCACACACAAAGGCATATTGTTTTGAGCTCCTCTTCTGGTGTTTCCACTATTTATTATTCGTCTTTTACTTTCTATGGAAACATTCATTAGCTAACAATGACATTATTGTTCTATTAATATAAAGGGAGGTCAGGTACTCTTTAAAACAGCTGCTAGTTATGGGTACTTTTTACTGAAGTACATTTCAAAGCCCGAAGTTTAGTCAGTACTTCTACTTCTACCACTTTTAAACATGAGTATGTGTACTTCTACTTGAGTAAAGGATGTGTGTACTTATATATACTCTCTGCTCCTCAGGAGAGCCCAGTCCTCCGGCGGTCCACGGGCAGAGAGGGATGGGTAAGGCCTACAGGCTGGGTCTGGTGAAGCAGGACGACGGAGGGATGCCCATCGTGGAATACATCGTCAAGTACAGGACCGTGAGTATTTTACAGTATTTAAACACGAGTACTGCAGTCAGGACTGTTCTCAGAATACATTTTCTAGATTACTCCCACGCCAGGGTTATCTTACATTCCCAATTGTAGTGGTAACATAACTCGTGCTTATACGATATGCTACTATTTCACTTGCATTGTTCATTTTAATTGCTTGCGTTGTGAGAATAATTCTAATTGTACATTTCGCTAAACTTCAATATCATATAATCACTGATTAAAAACCACAATCTCACTGACGTTCTTTAAAATGAAAATTCAAAATATAACTCTTATTCTCAGTTACCGAGCTATATGAACATAAATAATCTAAGGAAAATACAGGATATGGTTTCCACTCCAGGAATAATTCAAGGATAAAAGCTGAATCAGTTTATTCACACAACAAGCCTCAATACGTTTTATTATTTTGAACACAAGTGGAAAATGTCCTTGGTTCACGAAATGTGTAAAAAGGAACCCAGATTCTGCCCCTTTTGCAGGTTGAATATCACAATCCAGCTTCCAACAAAGTGACTATTACTAAAGTGGATAATCTTCTTATTTAAACACGGGTACTGCGGTCAGGACTGTTCTCAGAATCCAACTTCTATCGAGTCTAGATTACTCCCAGGCCAGGGTTATCTTACATACCCAGGTTTAGGGAGGGTCATGTAATGGGATTACTTGTTTAGTGTGTTATTGTTCTTTACAAAAAGCGGGACTTACACAATAGCAGGAAGTGACTCTGCGAGTGTCTCAATGGTTCCCGCCGATTGAGTTGAGTGCGTTGGTGGCAAAATGAATAATGTTCTGCTTGACGATCTCTCTTTCTCTTTCTCTATCCTTGTGTCACTTAGAATTCATGCTTTTCAAAGAGCACACACAGGCTCTCCAAATGCACTCATCCGTGTGTGTGTGTGTGTGTGTGTGTGTGTGTGTGTGTGTGTGTGTGTGTGTGTGTGTGTGTGTGTGTGTGTGTGTGTGTGTGTGTGTGTGTGTGTGTGTGTGTGTGTGTGTGTGTGTGTGTGTGTGTGTGTGTGTGTGTGTGTGTGTGTGTGTGTGTGTGTGTGTGTGTGTGTGTGTGTGTGTGTGTGTGTGTGTGTGTGTGTGTGTGTGTGTGTGTGTGTGTGTGACAAAAAGCAGCTTAAACTCACAAGATAAGGCGCGCTGCTGAGATGAGGCCAGGAAGCAGAAGAGATGGCACTCGTACAAAAACTCTCCGTAGGACTAAGTGGATTTGGGCTTGTCCAAATCTCCTATCTCCCCGATGCTAATGTGTCCAAGCAGGCCTTTTCTCTGTGTCTCGAGGAAGTGACAGCGGTTTTAAAATCATTCTGCCGCAGATGAAAATCCCGCTGAGGAACAGAGGGTCAGGAAATCTCAGTGAGGCTTTTGAAGGCCGTGCGGGAAGCCAATGGCAGATGCTTCACACCCCAGTAATCGTGCTGCCTTCACTGGCATCGGGAACACACAAATGCTTCATCACGCATAAAGGATGGGAACAGAGTAGTCTGGAAACACACACACACACAGAGACCCATCATAGTCACCTGACAATCCAGGCAAATGTTAAATACATTCACGATCATGCACCTTGACGCCTGTTTTGCACACTTTGTCCTCCAATATTGGGAGGAAAAAGGGTCCAAGGAGGCACGAAGGGTAAGCACTCAGAACATTTGGCAAAGCTCTTGGCTAGGTCTTTCAATCCTTTGTTTTAAAATTGAAGACGGCTGTAAGGAAGTGGGAAAGAGAAAAGGGCACACAGGAGCAGAGAGATATCACAGAGCTTGTGTGAACTTGATGAAAAACATTATTTTTACCCTATTCAAGTGTGGGCGTTTTCACTACCACGACTCAATGTGGGATTGCAGTTGCTCTCACAAAAGGGTAAGCTGTTGTTTAAAGCAACAACACTTCCCTCTGATGCTTGCAGACTGAAATGAAAAGCATTGATTGAAGTTGAACTCGAGTGTTGCGAGGCATTTCTTTTTACATTTCTCCTCCCCTTGTTCTGTCTCGCAGGATAAAGAAGAGCAGTGGATGACCAAGCTAGTCCCGGGAATGAATGATTTCGCCATGTTGCAGCCGCTGCAGTGGAACACCAGATATGAAGTGGAAATAACGGCACGAAACGTCAAGGGTCTGTCGGAGCCCAGCTTCTATCAGTTCTTCATGCCACAGAAACCTGACATTACAGGTACAAGCCCCATCAAAGAAAAGTGTTGTTCCATATATATATATATATATGCCCTTTCTCTTTCCCGATGCTTCTAGCTGCTATCGAACGCCTTTTGAAAGAGCATTTTCTGAGCTTCTTGTGTTTGTCATACCGCTGCAAAGAGCGATAGCATTGGCGATAACAAAAGCAATGGAGCAAGATGTAAACGTGGCGATAAAGAGAGCCTCCTGGAGGAGAGACTGCTGCCATGGATTTCTATCTGAGTGGCGTTTCATCTGAGAGAAACACTTTCTAGTCAAAAGCAGGACATTATTCTGCTGTAAAACATCCTTTCAGCTGCACTCAAAACCTCTCTTGGACATTGCATAGTCTACATTCATCTAAAACAAGAAAATACAAAGATAGGAATTACAAAATGCACATCATACAGTAGTAGTATGTAGTACTCCTTTTTACAAGTGAACTGAGCTTCATGGGTCAAATCATTGGACTGAGCCCTTAAATCGCTCAAGGAGATATTTGCACCCGTGGATTGCAGAAAATAAAACCTTTCTTCGAATTGTGTTGTGCTTTAAGCTTCAATATCCAGGTTCAAGCGGGTTTATCAGGCAAAATAACCACAATATATACAGGATATACTGCTTATTTCTCACTCTTGTGATTGTAATATGGAAATCAGGCTAAATAGAAGCACAAGACCTCACTTTGGGCTCCAAAAAGTGGACTTCCTATTTGTAAGGCTTTGAGTTATTCAATTATTAAGAAAATAACCCTCAGTTGCAGCATTGCATCTTGTGGTTGGTCCATGATGTGTTTTCAGCACAAAGACCTCCCCACACAGACCTGACTAAGGCTCTCCTGCTCCTGTGTTCTCAGTGCAGACGTCCACATTAAGGATTCATTCACACCTGTTCAAATAAACCGCTCGAATGGTGCAATCACACCTGGGTTCCCTTCAAAGTAACCCACCAGACCACGAGTGAAAACACCCGCAGGCTGTTCTGTAAAATATCTTCTTCTTCTTCTTCGTAGTGTGAAGCTTCTCCCGTTGTGCTGCTTTGCAATTCAGCAGCTTCTTATTTGCACAAACACAAGCTTCTCCCTCAGCTCCGTGTCGTCCGTATGCCGAGGTTATGATTCCCATGAGGAGCCTTTTGTTTCCTTCCTTGGTGAGCCTGGTGCTTAATGTAGCCGAAAAAGAAATGTCTAGATGTGCAGGAAGCTTCTCATTTCAACGTCCTGGAGGCGATGCACGTGAGCAGGAGCTTTGAAGTATACATGCAGCCGTGTTTCACTTAATCTGGAACACACACTGTTAAGGACGCACACGTATTGTTGAGATAAATGTGCCCCCCTGAAGCCCTCCATATGTGGAGAAAGGAATCAAAGAGAGGTTGTTTCGGTGCGCTGTTGCTCTCCTCTCCGCCTGTTACACCGTCCATTTGTGTTGTTTTGGATGGAGCGAGTGTTTGTGTGTCATTACAGCGCGGGCTAAATGGCCTGTGAGAGTGTGTGCTGCTTTTCAAACAGGAAGCGAGGGGGAAACGGCGAGCTTAAGGCAGGTCACTTCGATTGGCTGTCCTCTCTTGTTAGCGCACAGTGGTGCATCGTGGGGAAAGAGCCCGAGAGAGACAGTGGAGATAAAACGATTTCCTCTTAATGTGTTTGTTTGAGGAAGAGTAACACAGAGCGGCTTCTCGGCTAAAAGTGGACGGAGGGAGAGGAAATGTTGGAGAAAAATGTGTAGAATCGTTCGCCTATTTTGTTCAAATGTCTTTCAACTTCAAGCTCACTCAGGACTCTGAAATGACTCCGATAGCAAACCAATTGATAATCTCATTAGCACACAGATTACCCTTGAATAATGGCACCACATTTTCATTAAGAAAAGGCGTCAATATAAATATTTTCAAGCCAAAAACGACGTCCATTTACTTGTATAATCTTGGAGCAGAATAAGGACTCACACTGAACCAAATGGGATATTGAGGAAGTCTTTTTTGTACAAACGCATGCACATTTTTTATATAAGAGCCATCTCCCACTATATAAAATATAGTCTATCTAGGAGCCTTCAATCTCCCACAAACCCTGTTTCAAACCTCTGTATGTATAATGCATTTGGAGTGGATTTAACCTCCCCTTAAATCCTCTTTCCTCCGTCCTGTTAGCTGCACGCCACAGATTGAAACGCTGCCCTTGGTTCCTTTTCAATTTGCTTTCTTCAAACCACATCACATTTTTCTTTGCACTGCCCCTCCTCTCTTTCCAATTGCTTTGTGTCTTTAAAAGCTGATTTTCTCTCGCTCTCGTGAACAACGCACTTGACTTTTTGTCTCGTGATTTCCTTCCCCCGACCTTTATTTTGACTCGTAAAGGTAAAAAGCTCATTTACAAGTTGTTTCCATGACGTCATAATGGCCTGACAGGAGCGGACTTTACCATTAAGCAAGGTTGGCAACCTCCCTAATAGATCTTACAACGGATGGCTATAACATAAAGCTATCTTTGATAGGGCTGTGCGATTATGGCAAAAATCATAATCACGATTATTTGGGTCAATAATTGATATCACGATTATTAAATACGATTATTCATTGACTTTGAAAAAATCTATTTATTGAACTTTAAAACAAATACAAATAATAATTTGAACAGTATCTTTTTAACTGTTGATTACCCTGAACGTATAATTCAACTGAAAAACCAATACAAAAATAAATAAAATAAATTATACATTTATTTTTACATTTAAATAAATAATATCAAAATAATAAATACCAATAAACAAGATCAACAAATATTTTGCATGTTGCAGTGCACTGTCACAACCTAGCAAAGCTAAATAATTGTTTTTTTCGATTATGTTGTTTTCGTAATTGTGGCAGGCCAAAATCGTAATTGCAATTAAAATACGATTAATTGCACAGCCCTAATCTTTGAGCCTTTTCAGACCATTTACATGCACTAAAACCTAAATAACACACTGCAGGAAATGGGCCCCTTTAAGAGCAGAGATATCTAAATAATTCTCGATACAGTGTGGTGTTGCTTGTGTTTTTCTTGGCTCCCTCCTCTCCTTGCAGTGCTGTAAAACGCTTTGATTTAAACAGTCGTCATAGATTTAGTTTGAGGAGCGTTGCACTAATCTCATCAAAGCGCCGGGATAAATAATCTGAAAGGCTTCGCTCCTCTCCTGCGAGCTGCAGTCCAACTTTTCCTGGAAGTGACGCCAGCTGTTTAAACGGGAAATGAGTACTTTTATAGCTGTCCATTACATTAATCAATCGGCTCATATATTTCCTACTCTGAGATTTGTTGTTTCTTTACAGCCGTGTAATGAAACAGACGCATGCCCGTAACTTCTGTTATTTAATCTGCTAATGTGATTTAAGATATATGGTCTTTTTACGAGAAAATAAATACATGCCATGGATGATCAAATAACTAATATACACTTATATCGAGGTTCAAAAAGTCTCAAATGAAGCTTCAGTCAAGTAAACAGTGTTTGACCGTTCTCAGAATCAGTTTTATTCCACATCCACAAACAAAAAGGCATCTGTATCTGAAAGTACTCTCAGATTAAAGCTGAAGATATGCTCTGAAGACTGTCAGGTATCTTTGTAAAATGTGTTTGTGAAATACACATATATATATTTAAAGACTGCAGAACTTTGCTGTTCAAGATCAGCGCTGATGTTTACACGCTTGTTTATTTATTGAACAAAGGACCGTGTTTCCTGGGGAGCGTAGTTAACATATCGTTGTCAACTATGTACTGTAAATATTTTATGATAAGCTCGACGAGCAGGCGGCAGACTTCCTGCTGAGTCGCTGTAACAAAACACTTATGCTATTAAAGGTTTTTTTACACGATCGTTTCAAGGCTGTAAACTTAATGTACTGGTGAATATTAAGCACACAGAGCTGCGTGTATATACAACATAACCCAGTGTTTCTCATTCAGAATACCTGTTGCTGTTTTAGTGATGATGCTAATTCAGCTTTTACCTGAAACTGATTAAAATCCCTCGTTCATTTTCGTTAATTGCAGTTTTTCAAATGGGAAAAGTAGTATATTTGCGTACGTACTTAAAACAAACCCATGCTTTTCTTGATAATGTTAATTGAAAAGGGCAAAATAAGGGTTTTTCTTTTAGTGGAAACATAACTTGTGCTTAAACTATATACTAGTATTTCACTTGCCTTATTAGTTTGAATTCTAATTGTACATTTCCCCGAACTTCAATACCATTTAATAACTGATCAAAAACAACGATCGCACTGACATTTCTTAAGTGATCATTCAAAATATAACTCTTATTCTCAGTAACCAAACTAAATGAACATAAATAATCAAAATTATTCCACTCCAAGAATATTTCAAGGATCTCAATAACGTGTTTTATGTAACAACCCAAGTGGAGTTATGTCCTTGGTGCACACAACCTGTAAAAAGGAACCCAGATTCTTCCTCTTTTGCAGGTTAAAAACACAATTCAGCTTCCAACAAGGTGACTATTACTTGAGTGGATAAAAGGATAATTGAAAACTAAAATCCTACAGTGTGAATGAAGTTTGGTGACGAGGCACAGAAAGCTCTGTCTTTGGATCTGTTGCACCATTTCTAAAGTTAAAATGAGGGTCGCTCTTTTAAATACGTGACTTTAAAGTTGAATTTCATCTCCCAAAGATCAAGGTAGAGAAGCTTTTATCACTCCGTTAATAACCCCAGTCTGCAGCAATTACCTAAAAGTGCACCAAATGTCTTGTTGAATCCACTGATTGTTAAGAACGTGCATATTCCTCTTAAGTTAAGAGTAATTTCCTTTGGTTTTCCGTTCCCTCTTGAGTGCACTTGAGTCACATCAAGGCCTCCTTCTTGTAAATGGACACAAGGACGGACGCCTGCTTCTCCTTCAAAGCAGGGTTTAATGATTGTGTTTCAACTCTCTCTCTGAGGACCACCTCAAACAAACTTTCCCAAAGTCAGCACTTAAGAGAAATCCTCCCTC